GAGAGGAGAGGAGAGGAGAGGAGAGGAGAGGAGAGGAGAGGAGAGGAGAGGAGAAAAGAAGGAGAGAATTCTTGCCAGAGGAGATATGGTGAATGAGCATGCAAAGAAAGATGCAAAGACCAAGAAATCACTACCCTTTCCCAGAGCCAGAAGGAGACTCCAGCTATATCAGGCTTTGTGACAGCAGGTGGCAGTCCCAGCCTGCTGCCAGCACAGGACAAAGCGGAAATGTGAGGATCCCTCCCGAAAACCTCGCTGTCCTAAGATCCCTGCAGCACCAGGCAGAGAGCAGCTCTGCAAGGACAGAGGTGTGCAAGGAGGGGAACTGCCGTCCCACTTGCCGTATATTTAAAATCATGAACTGACAGCTTTTTTTTTGATAAAAGTTACAAAATTGACTTAAGAATTGGATGGAGATGAGAAGGGAAAGGGCATGGAAGTAAAAGACATCACAGGGAAGAAGTCGGAGTTACAAAATAGTAAGACTAGGGGTTGAGGCTTACCAGATCTGAATATTAATCCCTACCTATTAAGCGCTAAACCCTAACTACTAATCCCTAACTACTGCAGTATCCTGCAACCTTCCTGTGAGCTGGCAGTGTTGATAGCTCCAGCCTTCCACCAACGAGATGTCCATGGAAGAAAAGCTCTGCAAAGCCCTGATGCAGCCAAAGGACATCAGGGGGCTCAGAATTCCCTGCTTGCCCCAAGGGCATAAATGTTCTAAGAGGCAAGTTCAGGCATTTCGAAGCTGTGCAGTCCCTGATCCATGCCAGGGTAGTGTCTGGAGGAGGGACTCGTCCTTTTCTTCCTCGTTTGCTGACTTATTATTTGCAATTAGGATAGATGTCTCTTCTTCAGATGGGAATGGGCAAAGACAAGCATCATTTAAGGTACTTTCTTCCCAAAGAGTAAATGTGGGAGACTCTGGTGCTACAAAAGAAGGGGAATCACCCACCACAATGTACAAAAGGGTAGAACTCACAGAAACAGTGTGACACCCAGAAAGGCAGGCCATGTAGGATGAGCAGGGATAGAAATATCTGCATGGTGCAAGACCCTGGAGAGGACAAGAAGGGCATGAAAGCCTTCTTGAGAGAAAAGATGGAAGGTTCATCTCTTGAGGAAACCCAACACACAGAGGTAGCAAGGAGGTGAACAGAATTCCCAACCCATCTGCATCCCAAAAGGTTCCTACAACTGTGAGACAATCACATACCCAGTGCAGCCAGAGACACAGCAAGAGAAGGCCCACCACGCCACTCTTTCTTGGGTGTAAGGAGATCTGATATCATCCTCTGTCTGATCCTGCAGGATCATAGGAACAGGGCGTCCATCTTGGTGCCCCAGGAAAGGGATGGGTGAACCGCCATAGCTACCAAAAATCAATCTAGAGCTCCTCATATTCCCAAGAAGCTGAATAGCAGGAGATCTAGTAGAAAACTCTATTGAGAGGCCAAGAGGCCACTCTACTACCCGTGCCAAGGCCTGTTGTCCGTCTCTGGACTAGTCTGTTGCTGTCCATATAATTTAATTCTCCTGGCCTTCAAAACATGATGGATGCTTGGAAACTCCTGGGGGTGATCCTTTATTTAGGTCACCATGCCAGCATGGTCCTGGTTCTCCCCAGGCAATGTGGAAGTAGTGTTCCAAGACACAAAAGTGACACATGGCTTGTGTTCCCATCTCATGGACCTCACCCAGCATCAGGAAATGGGACAGGGGCTTTCAGGACAGACCTGGATGAAGGCACAGAGTGCTCCCTCAGCAAGTTTGCTGATGATATGAAACTGGGAGGAGTAGCTGATACCCCAGAGGGTTGCGCTGCCATCCAGAGGGACCTGGACAGACTGGACAACCAGACGGTGAAAAACCTCATGAAATTCAACAAGGCCAAGTGCAAGGTCCTGCACCTGGGAAGGAATAACCCCAGACACCAGTACAGGCTGGGGACCGACCTTCTGGAGAGCAGCTCTGCAGAGAAAGACCTGGGTGTCATGGTGGACAACAAGTTGACCATGAGGCAGCAGTGTGCCCTCGTGGCCAAGAAGGCCAACAGGATTCTGGGGTGCATTAAGAAGAGCATCTCCAGCAGGTCGAGGGAGGTGATCCTGCCCCTCTACTCAGCCCTGGTGAGGC